TTCCTATCTTGCTTTTCCCATTTGCAAACAGGCATAACCATAGCTCCTTCCTAGGTCTTTCAGGCCAAGAAAGGGTAGGGATATTTAGAAGATCCTGTGACTTTAAGGTGCTCCGCAGAAAGCTATTGAGCTATTGGGGAATTCCTCCCTCTAGATGCGAACCACAGAGTATCTGATTGCAATTGGCAAATATTTATTCATGTCCTCTCTTCATTCGGTGTTTGGGACAGTCCTTGAGATTCTTTACTTTGTATTGAAGTATGCCATTCATCAGAGTGCAGCTCATGAAAGTTCAGCTTGGTGAACTTTCCCAAATTGAACACACCCTTGTATTAGCACCCATAAAGAGAAACATAGCAGGGGCAGCCCCCAGAAACCCCACCCCTGCACCCTTCCCACTTCACCCCACCAAAACGTTTCACTGTCACTATCTAATCAGCACTCTTGGGTATAAGTGACAGAAACTCATCTCACAGTGACTTAAGCTGAAACTGAATGCTTCCCCCAGCTGGGGGGTCCATGGGTAAACCTTGCACAACTAGATCTAAATGCTTTGACGATGCTGTCAGCTTGCCTGTGAACTTTCTCTGCTGAGTTCTCTTCTGTGTTGACTTTATACCCAGGCAGTTTCCTCTTCCTTTGTGATGAAGAAATTTCAGGATTGCAGTTGATTAGATGTCCCATTCCTAGGCCAGTAGTTCTGTGTGGGCTGGGGCGGTAGGGTCAGTGTGTGGAATATAGAAGGGAGCCTATCTTGGGACACGTGACTGGATCAGCCCCATCTGAGCCACATGCACTTTTGAGTGGGTGAGGGTGGTTCCCCAGGAAAAAGCCTAGAGACTGTTGTTAGAAGGAAAAACAGGTACTGAGTGGACAGAACCAAGCAGGTCCAGTATACCCGGGCAGTGCTGATCCTCACACTGCTCACCGGACAACAGATGTTCACTTGCAAAAGAAACACAATCTCACGCCAGGCGCAGTGGCTCACGCCTGTAATCCCAGCACTTTGGGAGGCTGAGGCAGGTGGATCACGAGGTCAGGAGATCGAGACCATCCTGGTCAACATGTTGAAACCCCATCTCTACTAAAAATACAAAAAATTAGCTGGGCATGGTGGCACGTGCCTGTAATCCCAGCTACTCAGGAGGCTGAGGCAGGAGAATTGCCTGAGCCCAGGAGGTGGAGGTTGCGGTGCACCCAGATTGCACCATTGCACTCCAACCTGGGTAACAAGAGTGAAACTCCGTCCCAAAAAAAAAAAGAAAAAAGAAAAACAATCTCAAGCTCCTGGTTGCTCACAGGCAAGAGGGGAAGGAAAAAACAGTACAGGGCAGAGTGGGGCATGCCTGGACAGGCACAGAGGAGGCACCCGCAGGGGAGGCTGAGATGCCTCCCTGTGGAAGTCAGGGCTGGGCACTGCCAGCATGGGGTTAGGGGTTGGGAGAGCTGGAGTGGGATGTCCAGGCCATCCACTGGGACATCATCAGGTCTGTTGACCATCACATAGACAGATGTGTCTTCAATGTCCCCAACTTGATTGTCAGCTCCATGAGGATTAGGATCCTGAGCACTGGCTTTCCTGGATTGAATCTTCTGCTGATCTTATCTTTTCTCTACTTTCCAACCTTTATTTGTCATTTATGTTTTTTGTTCTACTTTTCACCTTTAAAATTTTTCTTTCAACCTTTCTAATATCTGATGCAGTGGGCCCCAAGGAAAACTAAGGGAAACAAGCAAAAACAAGAAAGGAAGTGTACTCTTAGTCACTGATGTGCTTCAGCTGTGAGCTGGAGTGTTTTGCTATGGTTTTAGGTTTTTGGTTTTTTTTTTAAGAAAGAAGGTCTCGTTCTGTTGCCCAGGTTGGTAAGCAGTAGAGCGAGCATTACTTACCTTGAACTCTGGGGCTCGAGATCCTCCCACCTCGGCCTCCCAAAGTGCTGGGATTACAGGTGTGAACCACCGTGCCTGGCCTCCAGGCATATTTTATCCTTTCTCAAGCGATGTGTAGTATTTTGACAAAAGTACATTTTAAAAAGAGTTAATATCAAAAAAACATTTCTGTGGCTTAAGGACTGCTGCTTAGGGTGTTCCTGGGTACCAGAGCGAGAGACAGAACTTTCTGTTCCCTTTCTGGCCTTTTGTACTCTTTAGTTCCCCCCTCCTCCTGAAAAACATGTGATTATTTTCCTCATCATCATCATCACCATCAGCACCATTAATGACTTGGAAATTTAAAGCAGAATTGCTTCTGAGCTGGGGTTGGGGGGCTGGAGAGGGCATCAGAGGCAGGAAATATTTCTGCCTTCTGTCTCAAAAAAGAAAGAAAAAAACATGAGCTAGCAATGATCTCATCTGTACCTTTAGAATTGCTTTTTTTTTTTTTGAGATGGAATCTTGCTCTCTTGCCCAGGCTGGAGTACAGTGGCGCGATCTCAGCTCCCTGCAACCTCTGCCTCCTGGCTTTAAGCAGTTCTGCTTCAGCTTCCTGAGTAGCTGGGACTATAGGCACCCGCCACCACACCGGCTAATTTTTGTGTTTTTAGTAGAGACTGGGTTTTGCCTTGTTGGCCAGACTGGTCTGGATCTTCCTAATCTCAAGTGATCTGCCCTCCTTGGCCTCCCAAAGTGCTGGGATTACAGGCATGAGCCACTGTGCCCGGCTTAGAACTTTATACAACGTCTTTGTGTTACCTTCAAAAATTAAACATATAATAAATATGTGCCCCCCATAAAGAGAAAACTTCAGAGGGGAAGGAGATAGGCCTTCCAGGATGGGAAAGTTCACTGGACAAAGGCTTAGGAGTGCCACACCCACCACAGAGCTCTGCAGGGAGAGTCTGCTTCTTGGAATTTTTTTTTTTTTTTTTTTTTCTGAGACAGAGTCTCACTCTGTCACCAGGTGCCAGGCTGGAGTGCAGTGGCACAATCTCGGCTCACTACAACCTCTGCCTCCGGGTTCAAGCAATTCTCCTGCCTCAGCCTCCTGAGTAGCTGAGACTACAGGCGCAAGCCACCATGCCCAGCTAATTTTTGTATTTTTAGTAGAGATGGGGTTTCACCATGTTGGCCAGGATGGTCTCGATCTCTTGACCTCGTGATCCGCCTGCCTTAGCCTGCCAAAGTGCTGGGATTACAGGCATGAGGTACCCTGTGGCTCAGCCTATTTATTTATTTATTATTTATTTTTGAGATAGGGTCTCACACTATTGCCCAGGCTGTACTGCAGTGGCACAATCTCTGCTCACTGCAGCCTCTGCCTCCCAGGCTCAAGCAATCCCCCCACCTCAGCCTCCTGAGTACCTGGAACTACAGTTAGTCACCACTGCACCAGGCTAATTTTTGTGTTTTTAGTAGAAATGGTGTTTGGCCATGATTCCCAGGCTGGTTTGGAGCTTCTGGGCTCAAGTAATTTGCCTGCCTGAGTCTCCCAAAGTGCCGTGATAACAGGTATGAACTACTGCACCCAGCTGGCTCTTGGATTTAAGCCCTGCCCTGCCTCTTTCTCACTGGGTATTCACATATCTGAGCCCACTGCTTCAATTAAAATGGACAGGGATAGTCATTGCTGCCTACTAGGGACTTGAGATGATAACATTTAATCATTAAGACAAGAGTACCTCTTACAGGCCCTTCCTGACTGGTTCTTCCTAATGTTGAACCCTTGGCCCAAATGGCCACTGTGCTGAACATAAGGCTCCTATTAGAAAGCTCCCAGCTAGGAACTGGTCTTCTGGAGACTCTGTGGTATAGGATGATTCAACCACCTCCCTAGTTCTTGAATTTCAATAGTAGGATCTCACAACAGTTCCTGTAGTGTATGAGTCACTTAAGAAGACCTCCAGCTTTCCTGGAACACAGGTAACAAACACCTTGGCTTGAGGTCAAGATCCTACCCAGGCAAGGGCTGGGCTGGCCAGGGCAACCGTGTTTGACCCATAGTAGCAGGGTCCTGCACTCTGCAGGGAAGAATCACAGGTGGGAGAGGCCCATAGCCTGGGATCAGAGGTGCCAGGAGCTTGGGAACAGGAGTCCTGGGGTCCCAGCTTTCCCACTGTCTCTGCAAACCTTGAGTCCTTCCCCTGAAAAATGACATCATCATGCCCACCTCAGGGTTCATTGAGTAAATCATCCAGTGGACTTGAAGCACCTAGCTCTTGTGATCGTCAGAGTTAGCAAATATGAGTTCCCTTCTTCTCCGGCACCCCATTGGCAGGGAGCCAACCATTGTCAGCCTACTGGCACTAGAGGAGCATTGATCATGAGCAGAGCAGATGAGTGGCTACTTTCCTTGTCTTCCAGGTTTTCCCGCAGTGGGCATGGGATCTGGAGTTGGCTGGTGACAGAGCTGCTGGCATCCTCCACCCACCCCTGTTGCTTCCTGATGAGGGGAAGAGGCAGAGATGGGGTCTGCTCTGAAGTCAGGCCCTGGCTTCTCTCAGTGGTGACCTGGACAGGGGAGGGGGAAGGCAGGGAGCAAAGGATACAGGAGCAAGGAGGAAACTTCCAGGCCCCTCCCTTCCAAAGTCACCCAGGCCTGAGATCATTGCAGAAGCAACAGTTGCAAAGAGCAGAGCACTTTGGGACCTTGGGATGCAGGAGGTGGCTCCATGTTCCTTCCACCCTGTGAGTCACACCCTGTGTGACATTCTTAAGGTCCACTAAAGGGCTGGTGGTTGGAGGCCAGAGGATGGCCTGGGAGTTACTGAAGTTGGAAATGGAGGTGGCCTGTGGGTGTCTCCTCTTGGGGGAGGGGTTCCTCCTCTCTGGATGTAGCTGAGCACAGGGACAGTAGCAGTGGAGGATGCAGGTGTGTAAGAAATGCTTCCCCAGGCCCTCTCTTCATGGGTGTTTGCAGCAGCATCCATCACAACAGCTCTGAGAGGTTAAATGCTGCAAATCCTATTCTACAGAGGTAGAAATCGAGCCTCAGAGAAGTTACGTCACATTTAGGGGTATCTTCCCCTGTAGAGTGTGACTCCATCTCCCTCCTGCTTTACTAGGTGCTGAGGACCCTCCAAGCATCGCCCATGGAGTTGTGATCAGCACTGCAGCACTCCCAGCAGCCCTGCACAGTGGTGAGTCCCCTCAGCTGGCTGGGACAGTACTCCGCTCTCACCTCTCTGCCTCTCTGGCTCCCTCCCAGCTCCCCATCAACTGATCTCCTTGCAAACCTGCAGGACTCCAGAACACCCTCCCTCAGGAGTCCATGCTGCCTTCAGCACTTCACTCCCCACCAGTGATGGCAACACTTGGTGTTCTTTGTCCACTTTGTCTGTTTGCTCATTTTTTTGTTTCTGAGACAGAGTCTCACTCTATTTCCCAGTCTGGAGAGCAGTGGTGCCATCTCAGCTCACTGCAACCTCGACCTCCGGGTTCAAGCGATTCTCCTGCCTCAGCCTCCTGAGTAGCTGGGATTACAGTCATGTGCAACCACACCCAGCTAATTTTTGTACTTTTAGTAGAGATAGGGTTTCTCCATATTGGTCAGGCTGATCTTGAACTTCTAACCTCAGGTGATCCGCCCGCCTTGGCCTTCCAAAGTGCTGAGATTACAGGCATGAGCCCCCACACCCGGCCATACCTCTCTTTTTTTTTTCCTTTTAATCATACAGTGTGGAAGCACACACTATAGCAAGTGCACGCCTCAGTTAGGGGCATGACTACCTGTCCCTCCTGTCCATCCAGGATATTCAAACATGTTCCCATTTTCCAGTAATCCACCCAAATCCTGTGTTATGTGCTGGTACCATGCCCTTTTACAGATGGGTAAACTGAGTCACGGGGTGATCCAATATTTGGTTCAAGATCACAGGCTGTGTGTGTCAGTGTAGTGTGGAACATTTAAAAACAAACGAGGCTGGGTGCCGTGTCTTATGCCTGTAATTCCAGCACTTTGGGAGGCTGAAGTGGGCAGATCACCTGAGATCAGGAGTTGGAGATGAGCAGCCTGACCAACATAAAGGAACCCCATCTCTACTAAAAATACAAAATTAGCTGGGCGTGGTGGTGCATCCTGTAATCCCAGCTACTTGGGAGGCTGAGGCAGGAGAATCACTTGAATCCAGGAGGCAGAGGCTGTGGAAAGCCGAGATCATGCCATTGCATTCCAGCCTGGGCAACAAGAGTGCAACAACAGAGGGAAAAAATAAAGTAATAAGATCACAGGCTGCAGTGGAAGAGCCTCAGGGAAACGCACCACCACACCCAGCTAATTTTTGTATTTTTAGTAGAGATGGGGTTTCTCCACGCTGGTCAGACTGGTCTTGAACTCCTGACCTCATGATCCACCCACCTCGGCCTCCCAAAGTGCTGAGATTACAGACGTGAGCCCCCGGACCCGGCCATACCTGTCTATGGTGCCGTGACATCCACCAGAGAGCCCATCAGCTCAACCTAAAAGAGTTTCCTCACAGGAATTCTTAAGCAAAAGACAGGAATTCTGTTTGAAATATATTTCCCTCTCCAGATAGACAGTGGTAGTGTGGGTAGATAACTAAGAAGGTAGGACTCATATACAGATTTCCCACCGCATTCTGCGTTTGTACTTTTGCTCTCAGCTAGACTGGATCCTGAGTTATGTCTTAAGGCCACATATCCAGGAGATCGCCCCACTCATACCCTCCTGTTCTTGGGAGGCTGAGGTCTGGTGGTTGAATCTGCTCCCTGCAGGCACTGGGCAGTAGCTGGGGCGCGGGATGGGCGTACAGGCTGCAGTCCCTAACCGCTGCGCTCTCCTCCCTAAGGCCCCCGGCAGTCAGCATGTGGCTGCCTCGCATCTCCAGCACAGCAGTGACCGCACTCCTCCTGGCGCAGACCTTCCTTCTCCTCTTTCTGATCTCCCGGCCAGGGCCCTCACCCCCAGCGTGCAGTGAGGAGCGAGTGCACGTGCTGGTGCTGTCTTCGTGGCGCTCGGGCTCATCCTTTGTGGGCCAGCTCTTCAGCCAGCACCCCGACGTCTTCTACCTGATGGAGCCTGCATGGCACGTGTGGACCACCCTGTCACAGGGCAGCGCCGCAACGCTGCACATGGCTGTGCGTGACCTGGTGCGCTCCGTCTTCCTGTGTGACATGGATGTGTTTGATGCCTATCTGCCTTGGCGACGCAACCTGTCTGACCTCTTCCAGTGGGCCGTGAGCCGCGCACTATGTTCGCCACCCGCCTGCAGCGCCTTCCCCAGGGGAGCCATCAGCAGTGAGGCCGTGTGCAAGCCACTGTGCGCACGGAGGCCCTTCAGCCTGGCCCAGGAGGCCTGCCGCTCCTACAGCCATGTGGTGCTCAAGGAGGTGCGCTTCTTCAACCTGCAGGTGCTCTACCCGCTGCTCAGTGACCCTGCGCTCAACCTGCGCATCGTGCACCTGGTGCGCGACCCGCGGGCTGTGCTGCGCTCCCGGGAGGCGGCAGCCAAGGCTCTGGCGCGCGACAATGGCATCGTGCTGGGCACCAATGGCACGTGGGTGGAGGCTGACCCTGGCCTGCGCGTGGTGCGTGAGGTGTGCCGTAGCCACGTCCGCATCGCTGAGGCTGCCACACTCAAGCCGCCACCCTTCCTGCGCGGCCGCTACCGCCTGGTGCGCTTCGAGGACCTGGCGCGGGAGCCTCTGGCAGAGATCCGGGCACTCTACGCCTTCACCGGCCTGAGTCTCACGCCACAGCTTGAGGCCTGGATCTACAACATCACCCACGGATCTGGACCTGGTGCGCGCCGCGAAGCCTTCAAGACTTCGTCCAGGAATGCGCTCAATGTCTCCCAGGCCTGGCGCCACACGCTGCCCTTCACCAAGATCCGCCGCGTGCAGGAACTGTGCACTGGTGCTCTGCAGTTGCTGGGCTACCGGCCCGTGTACTCTGAGGATGAGCAGCACGACCTCACCCTAGATCTGGTGCTGCCACGAGGCCTGAACAGCTTCAGCTGGGCGTCATCCACTGCCTCGCACCCCCGGCATTAGAGGAGGCCACAGTTGGAGAGGTCACCAGGCCTGGAGTGGGGAGTGCATTATGCACAGGTGGCTGGGGTGCACAAAGAAGCAGGTCCCTATATTGACCAAGGGGTTCGTGGTCCCCCCATGAAGTAGGCAAGGACTGCCTGTTTCTTTCCAGATTCTCGGTTTTCCTTTGAGTCCTCTGCAGCTGCCTTCTCATCAGGTACACTCTTCGTGAAAAGCAACTCTTGCCCCTACCTCCTCTGGGCACAGGGAGTGCGTTCAGATGACTTGGCTCCCACTCAAGGGCTTTCTGCCCCTTAACTTTCTCCTTCCGGGGACACATCCTGCAGCAGCTGAGGGGGAGCCCTCGCACTGGCTGGGAGTGGAGAGGCAGGGTGGTGATATGGCTGCAAAAGTCTGTACATCACATACCCAGGCACACGTGCACACTTGACCAAACTCAGAAGTGAAAGGACTTGTCCAAAATCACATGGTGAGAAGGAGGATGAAGAGAGGAGAGAGCTTTTTCTCTGGGGCTCCAGTGGGGAGGAGAGAACCTGCCTCCTGGGTGACAAGGGTCAGATTTTCCCATTTTAGTTGCTTTAGGGAAGAGCAGGCAGAGTTATGGCTGGGACACAGCTGAGAGATAGAGGAGGCTGTGATTGCTGAGACCAGAGCTTATCATCTTGGACAAGCCTAGAGGGAGGCAGTAAGTGGGAAAGGTGAGAGGGGGCTGGGGAGGCCTGGGCAGCAAGCCAGGCATAGGGGGTGGCAGAGCAAGAGTGGGGCAGCAGGATCAGTGCCTGGAAGGCAGGGGCAGCCCATTATGGGGAGTGGAACTCATCAGGCTTGCTGAGAGGTTGGAAGGGAAATGGCTCTGAGCTGGATCTGTCTTCCATTGGTTCTTCTGGGCCAGGCCCTGGAGGAGAGCAGAGGAAGATCCTTGCCTGCGATCCACATCACCTAGCTCTGGCGGCACAGGGGCTTAGTAAAGGGAAGCTGGATGTGTAGACGGCTTAGTCCCGAGCTCAGGAAATGAGACCCAGTAAGTGCCCAGTACATGTTTAAAAGAAAAGCTCACAGAACCCCTGGGAAGAACAAGGAAGCTGAATTAGCCACATAAATAAACTCAGATCGCACTGGAACACAGAGCTGGTCTGGGAAATGTGTTGGCTGCCACCAGAACTTCTGACCCTGTTACCTGTCAAATGAGACAGTTACCCTCATGGTTGCCATCAGTTACCAGGAGGGGTGCTGGTTGTCACTGGCTTCTGATTCTCATCCTGGGTTTGGCCACAGGTTGGGGGAACCTGGATTGTGGAGCTACATCCTCCCTGCAAAGTGGGCAGGGTAAGGGGGATCTGACATTTTCCGTTTCACATGGAGGAAGCACAGGCACATTAGCCTTGAAGCTGAAGCTCATTTTAGGTTTCTTCCAGCTTCAGAAGCTTCAGCCAAATGAAACTTGAATCTGTGTCTTGTGACAGAACAGGAGGAAGGTATTTAAAACCCCAAATTTATGAATGGGTGGCTTAGAAAGTATCTTTCTTCGTTCTTGTTCAGGTGATTATGACAAAATAACTTAAGACTGGGTAACTTAGCTGGGTGTGGTGTCTCATGCCTGTAATCCCAGCACTGTTGGAGGCCGAGGTGGGTGAATTACCTGAGGTCAGGTGTTCGAGATTAGCCTGGCCAACATGGCAAAACCCCTCCTCTATTAAAAATACAAAAATTAGTGTATTTTTGTATGGTGTGTGGTGGCGCATGCCTGTAATCCCAGCTACTTGGGAGTCTGAGACAGGAGAATCGCTTGAACCTGGGAGATGGAGGTTGCAGTGAGTCGAAATGGCACCATTACACTCCAGCCTGGGTGACAGAGCAAGACTCCATGTCAAAAAAAAAAAAGTGGGTAACTTATAAACAAATTGTTTTTTCTCACAAGTCTGGAGACTGGCAAGTCCAAGATCAAGCTACCAGTGTTGTCTAATGAGGACCCCCCTTTTCACAGACGGTGCCTTCTAGCTTTGTCCCCTAATGGTAGAAGATGGGAGGCAGCTCTCCAGGGCCTTTTGGTTTTTTTTTTTTTTTTTGGAGACAGAGTCTGGCTCTGTCACCCAGGCTGGAGTACAGTGGCACAATTTTGGTTCACTGCAACCTCTGCCTCCCTCTGCCTCCCAGGTTCAAGCAGTTCTCCTGCCTCAGCCTCCTGAGGAGCTGGTACTACAGAGATGCACCACCATGCATGGCTAATTTTTGTATTTTTGTAGACACGGGGTTTCACCATGTTGGCCAGGTTGGTCTCAAACTCCTGACCTCTAGTGATCTGCCCACCTCAGCCTCCCAAAGTGCTGGGATTACAGGCATGAGCCATGGTACCTAGCCTCCAGGGCCTATTAAAGAAGGTCACTAATCCCATTCTTTTGAGGCCTCCACCCTCATTAATCCCCCCCAAAAGCTCCACCTCCCAACACCATCATATTGTGGGTTAAGATTTCAGTCACATGGGGCTCGGTGTGGTGGCTCACGCCTATAATCCCAGCACTTTGGGAGGCCAAGGCAGGTGGATCACGAGGTCAAGAGATCGAGACCATCCTGGTCAACAAGGTGAAATACCGTCTCTACTAAAAATACAAAAATTAGCTGGGCATGGTGGTGCGTGCCTGTAGTCCTAGCTACTCGGGAGGCTGAGGCAGGAGAATTGCTTGAACCCAGGAGGCGGAGATTGCAGTGAACCGAGATCGTGCCATTGCACTCCAGTCTGGGTAACAACAGCGAAACTGTCTCGAAAAAAAAAAGTTCAATCACAGGGCAAGTGTGGTAGCTCATGCCTGTAATCCCAGCATTTTGGAAGTCTGAGGTAAGTGGATCACTGGAGGTCAGGAGTTCAAGACCAGCCTGGCCAACATGATGAAACCATGTCTCTACTAAAAATAAAAAAATTAGCCAGGTGTGGTGGTGCATGCTTGTAATTCCAGCTACTCAGGAGACTGAGACAGGAGAATTACTTGAACCCGGGAGGTGGAGATTGCAGTGAGCCGAGACCATGCCACTGCCCTCCAGCCTGGGCAACAGAGACTCCATCTCAAAAAAGTATGTATATATTTCAACCACAATGTGCTATTGGGGGGAAATAGAAACATTCAGAGCAGAGCAAAAAGGCTGGGGTCACATAAATTAATATATGGGCTAGGAGTCACCACATCTGTAACTTCAATGCTTTCTGTTCCATCAAGTAAATCAAACAAGATGAAGATGGACTGTGGCAAAGGATCCATCCTGTCACAGGCTTGGAAGGCCAGATCATTTGCTCCTGACCATGACATGGGTCTCCAGGGGTGAGGGAACCCTCTTGGCATTGGCTACAAACATCTCAAGGACCAGCACCTTGAGAGATTTACTGGGCACTTGGCCGCAACATTGGGCCCATGCTGCTGGCCCCTTCCTCCTTCGTTCCTCTCACCTCCCACCCCCACCCCCTGCCCTGTGATGACCACTGAGGATAAAAGCAGTTTTCACCTGGAAAGATTCCATAGTCAAGGGGAAGAGTCAGCCTAGAAACAGAGTCCCAGTCAGTGTGGTCTGTTCAGGCAACGAAGGATGAACCAGAGGCTTATGATGTCAAGGCCAGGAACAAGGAGATACTGATAGCTGGTGGGGTCCAGGAGGGCTTTGATCAGGGGTTTCGGAGCCCAGCTAGACGGTAGCATCCTACAAGCTTCATTTGGCCCTCTTTAGATCACAGATTGTATCTGCAGTTCATGGCCTCTTTGTATCCACGTCCTTTGCTGTATGACCCATCCATTCTCCCCTGACTCCCATAGTGTCAGGACACGCTTGACTGGCTCCCAGATTTGCTCTCTGCACATGGGCAGTACAATCAAACCTCAGAGTGAACCCAGATCAACTTACAGGACATAGAAGGTGGCTTGCCAGGTGCAGTGGCTCACGCCTGTAATCCCAGCACTTTGGGAAGCTGAGATGGATGGATCACCTGAGGTCTGGAGTTTGACGCCAGTCTGACTAATGTGGTGAAACCCCATTTCTACTAAAAATACAAACATTAGCCGGGTGTGGCTACGTATGCCTGTAAGCTCAGCTACTCAGGAGACTGAGGCACAATTGCTTGAACCCAGGAGGTAGAGGTTGCAGTGAACTGAGATTGCACCATTGCACTCTAGCCCAGGCAACAGAGTGAGGCTCTATCTCAAAAGAAACAAACAAAAAAACACACCATTATTTCAGGAGTGAGTTGGTTATCCTGAGAGTGGTGCCTTTTAAATGAAGGAGTTCATTCTGTCTTTCTCTTGCCCTCACTTTGCCCTTCCACCATATGATGCCTTGCACCTCGCTAGGATGCAGCAAGAACGTTCTTGCTAGATGCTGACTCCTTGATCTTGGTTTTCCCAGCCTCCAGAACTGTAAGCCAATACACTTCTCTTTATTATAAATGACCCATGCTGGGTTTGGTAGCTCACGCCTGTGTTCTCAGTACTTTACAAGACTGAGAATACATTCAAGGATCACTTGAAATCAGGCATTCAAGACCAGCCTGGGCAACATAGTGAGATCCCATCTCTACAAAGTTAAATTAGTGGTACATGGTGTCATGCACCTGTAGTCATAGCTACTTGGGAGGCTAAGGTGGTAGGATTGCTTGAGCCCAGGAGGTTGAGGCTACAGTGAACCATGATCATGCTGGTGCACTCCAGCCTGGGTGACAGAGCAAGACCCCATTTCTAAATGACCCCATCTGTGGTATTCTGTTACAGCAAAAACAGATTGAGAGACTCTTTAATGAAAGGCAGATTCACAAAGAAAAACAGTTTTTTGTTTGCTTTTGTCCCCCAGGCTAGAGTGCAGTGGCGCCATCTTGGCTTGCTGCAACCTCCACCTCCCAGGTTCAAGCGACTCTCCTGCCTCAGCTTCCAGAATAGCTGGGATTACAGGTGTGCACCACCACGCCCCCACTAATTTTTTTGTATTTTTAGTACAGACAGGGTTTCACCATGTTGATCAGGCTGGTCTGGAACTCCTGTCCTCAGGTGATCCACCTGAGTCAGCCTCCCAAAGTACTGGGATTACAGGTGTGAGCCACTGGGCATGGCGGAGGAAAACTGTTTATTTTGTGATGGAGTTTTGCTCTTTCACCCAGGCTGGAGTGAAGTGGCGCGATCTCAGTTCACTGCAAACTCTGCCTCCCAGTTCAAGTGATCTTCTGCCTCAGCCTCCCCAGTAGCTGGGATTATAGACACCCTCCACCACACCCGGCTAATTTTTGCATTTTTTCTAGAGATGGGGTTTCACCATGTTGGCCAGGCTGGTCTTGAACTCCTGACCTCAGGTGATCCACCTGCCTCGGCCTCCCAAAGTGCTGGGATTACAGGCATGAGCCACCATGCCCTGTGAAAATGTTTATTAACGCAGACAGCTGACATCACTCAGGATAAGACTCAACAAAGTTATGGCTTGGAACACAGTCTTACACAGCATTTTAAAAAAGACAATAAATTTGTAGAGAAATGACTGGACCAAGGATAACAGTTTTAGGCTTCCAAGGGTGGGTAACTGGGATGGTAAATATCGGAGAGGAAGCTGTTGCAGCAGTATTTGTCTGCAGTGCCTCTGGAACTGCCTCTGGCTGGACAGAGTTAAGAGTTGTCTCCAGGCAAGGAGAATTTATATCCTGCGTTTAGACAGAAGAGGGGAGGGAAACCTGACCTTTTTCTGGGCCTTCTGCTTGTTAATTGCCTTCAGGTGAAAATCATTCGTATGTAAAAGAGGCATAATCTGGATCGCAGCCTCTGCTTGCTTCCACCTGAAGAGAACCCGCATGCTGCTCCTTTGCCTCAGACCCCTTCCTCTGCCACAGAGAAAGCCCAGGCCGGGCTGCCGGACAAGCAGGGACCATGAGAAGGAGAGTGCAGGTGTGCGAAGCCTCGACCAGCCAGCCCCTCACCAGCCCCAGCTGATCAGCACGTGGCCACTTCTGTTACCTTCTACTGGCCAAAGCAAGTTCAGGGCTCACCCAGATTCAGAGGCCGGGAAACAGTACGCCGCTTGGGAGAAGAATAGAGACACATGAACAAGACCAGCTGAGCCCAGCACTGCCAGCCAAGTCAAAGACTTTAGGAGCGATAAAAGTGCTTATTATGTTTCAATCATTTGAGTGTTGGGTGGTTTGTTATGTAGCATTGCCTGACCGATACAGTTGAAAACAGAGGGCTCCGGGCACCTGTAGCTTCCAACTTTCCATCAGGGTCCAGTCTGTGCCTCCCTGCTGGTAGGGCTGGAATTAGTCTCTTCTTACCTGTAGGCCCTGTGACGCAGCTGGAAGTGTCTAGGCCCAGCAGTCACCCACAATTAGGGGCAGGCATGCTTGTTGCCTCTGCTGTGGGTGTGAGAGCTCAGGAGGGGGCAATCGAAGCCCGAAATGCGCTGATGGGTGCACAGGAACAGTGTTGGCTGGAATAGGTCAGAGAACCCACCGAGGTCGCGCCACTGCACTCCAGCTTGGGCAACAGAGCGAGACTCTGTCTCAAACAGAAAATAAAAGAACCAGAGCTAACATCTTGATGAAATGGAAGGGATTGGGCAATCATATATTTTTCCAAGATGGCAATTCATTCCAGCCAATCTAGCATTTTCTCCCTTTCGGGTAACACCAGAAAACATGGCCAGTTCTGCAAATCTTGTGTTATTCGGATCCCAGTCCTCAAGAACTCCACTTATTCATTCAACACACATTATGGGTTGAGCACCAACCAAGCACTGGGCTATTGTAGCAGCTGGAGATAGAGCAAGGACCCAGACAGACAAAAAGCAAAAACCCCTGCCCTAGGCTGGGTGCAGTGGCTCACGCCTAGAATCCCAGCACTTTGGGAGGCTGAGGCAGGTGGATCACCTGAGGTCTGGAGTTCAAGACCCTGGGCAATATGGTGAAACCCCGTCTCTACTAAAAATACAAAAATTAGCTAGGTGTGGTGCCGCACCCCTGTAATCCCAGCTACTCAGTAAGCCGAGGCAAGAGAATCGCTTGAAAACGGGAGGCGGCGGTTGCAGTGAGCTGAGATGGCACCACTGCACTCCAGCCTGGGCAACAGAGCAAGACTCCATCTCACACACAAAAAGCCCTGTCCTTCAGGAACTTGCATTCTGATGGCGGGGAGAGAGCTAATGAATGATAAGTGTCATAAATGTCTACATTATTCTGCATACTAGAGAGTGCCAAGGATTAAAGTGAAGAAGATTCCGGGGATTAGGAATGTATGTGGGTAGCCATGTGAGGTAATTTTTTTTTTTTTTTGAGAGAGAGTCTTGTTCTGTCACCAGGCTGGAGTGCAGTGGCATGATCTCGGCTTACTGCAATCTCGGCCTCCAGGGTTCAAGTAATTCCCCTGCCTCAGCCTCTGGAGTAGCTGGGACCACAGGCGTGCACCACCACACCAAGCTAATTTTTGTATTTTTAGTAGGGACGGGGTTTCACCATGCTGGCCAGGATGGTCTCGATCTCCTGACCTCATGATCCACCTCCCTCGGCCTCCCAAAGTGCTGGGATTACAGGCTTGAGCCACTGCGTGGTGTGAGTTATAATTTTTAATGGGGTGATCAGGGTAGGTCTCAGTAAGAAAGTGACATTTGAGCAAAGTCTTAAAGGAGGTGAGAGAGTATGTCAAGGACAATCATGTGTAGCCTGTCTGGGAAGAGGAAAGAGCTAACACAAAAGCCCTAAGGACAGGAGGCATCTGGCTTGTTGGAAGAGCAGCAAGGGGCCAGGAGGTCTGATGTGCTGGGCCCAAGACGGAGTGCCAGGAGATGAGGTCAGCAGGTATGGGGAGGGGTCAGGTCACAGAGGGCCTTGGAGGCCTTCAGGAGGACCTTGGCTTTACTTGGTGTTAAATGGAGGGTGTCCAAGGCCACTCTTGTTCTATTACGTCCCATGGATGAATAAATAAACATAGATATAAATATGTCATATACATGTGTAATATGTCAGGTACCAAAAATAATAATAGGACGAGTACCCAGTTAAATCAATATTTTGTTATAATTTCACTGCCTGTGTTAATATCCTGAGGAAGTATAGTGTTACTTTTGCAAGTATCTGAGTTTGGTTCAACTGAATCACACTGCGGTCTTCTGCAACTTAGGTCTCCCCCTCAAGTTTGTGGAATGTTTTTTTTGAGATGGAGTCTCACTCTGTCACCAGGTTGCAGTGCAGTGGCGAGATCTCCACTCACGGCAACCTCCGCCTCCTAGGTTCAAGAAATTCTCCAGCTTGAACCTACTTCCTGAGCAGCTAGGATTATAGGTGCGTGTTACCGTGCCTGGCTGATTTTTGTATTTTTAGTAGAGACGGGGTTTCACCATGTTGGCCAGGCTGGTCTTGAACTCCTGACCTTGTGATCCACCCGGCTTAGCCTCCCACAGTGCTGGAATTACAGGAGTGAGCCACTGTGCCCAGCTGGTTTTTCTGTTTGTTTGTTTGTTTGTTTGACGCAGAGTCTTGCTCTGTCACCCAGGCTGCAGTGCAGTGGTGCGATTTTGGATCACTGCAATCTTGAACCTCCTGGGTTCAAGCGATCCTTGTGCCTCAGCCTCCCAAGTAGTTGAGATAACAGGTGTGTGCCACCACACCCAGATAACTTTTTATATTTTTAGTAGAGACCGGGTTTCACCATATTGGCCAGGCTGGTCTCGAACTCCTGACCTCAGTGATCCACCCATCTCAGCCTCCCATTGTGGTAGGATTTATTTTCACTACTTTTAAGGAATTTGTTGGAAATCATACCACAATTTTATGTATCCTCCCAAAGTGCTGGGATTTACACGTGTGAGCCACAGCACCCAGCCAAAATACTGACTTCCTTCTTAACCTGGTCATTAAAATGTTGAACCAGCACTTTGGGAGGCCGAGGCGGGTGGATCACGAGGTCAAGAGATCGAGACCATCCTGGTCAACATGGTGAAACCCCGTCTCTACTAAAAATACAAAAAATTAGCTGGGCATGGTGGCGCGTGCCTGTAATCCCAGCTACTCAGGAGGCTGAGGCAGGAGAATTGCCTGAACCCAGGAGGCGGAGGTTGCGGTGAGCCGAGATCGCGCCATTGCACTCCAGCCTGGGTAACAAGAGCGAAACTCCGTCTCAAAAAAAGAAAATAAATAAATAAAATAAATAAATTAATTAAAATGTTGAACCATTTCGTCTACAGCTCGAAGGCAATCCCTTACTCTTCCTGAGGACACCCTTTCTGTTTTAATCTGGTCAGATGGCTGCTAGGACAGTTGCACAGAAGGCAGTCTAACACTCCTGGTTAAGTCCACCATTTCCGGCATTGCACGTGTTTCTCTCTCTTGGTTAATACTGTTTAACTTTGCTGGACCACATCCTCAGCTTCCTTAGAAAGGGCTCATCAATCCGCAGCCAGTTAAGCCGACCGGGTTCCTTTCCTTGTGGTGGCCTAGCGTGCAATGGCTGCAAACAGCATCTTCCTTGGTAGTATAATGCAGACTGTTTCTTGTATAGGTTGCTCTAAGGGATCCTGGAGACAGGCCTTTCAGACGTATGTTCGTGTCTCTGACCTTGCACTTGCCCAGTGTAGGCTCTGAACAGGCAGGCATGCTAGGTGCCTTCGGAAAGCCCCGGGGCAGTGTGTTTGGAGTTCACACTGGCCAAGTTACCTTGTCCATCCGCACCAAGCTGCAGAACAAGGAACATGTGATGGAGGCCCTGCACAGGTTCATGTTCCCTGGCCACCAGAAGATCCACACCTCAAAGAAGTGAGGCTTCACCAAGTTCAATGCTGATGAATTTGAAGACATGGTGGCTGAGAAGTGGCTCATCCCTGATGGCTATGGGGTTAAGTATATCCCTAGTCATGGCCCTCTGGACAAGTGGCAGGACCTGCTCTCATGAGGGCTTCCACCGTGCTGCCTCCTCTTAATATGAACCAATAAATCCTACTTCCTTTCCAAAAAAAAAAAAAAAAAGAGAGAGAGAGAAAGAAAGAAAGGGCCCGTGAACCCTACATGTTCTGAGCCTGGCAAGGCTAAATGTCTTTTTTAAACCTGTTAGCGGCCCGGCATGGGGGCTCACACCTGTAATCCCAGCACTTTCGGACGAGGTGGGTGGATCACAAGGTCAGGAGTTCAAGACCAGCCTGGCTGAGATGGTGAAACCCCATCTCTATAAAAAATACAAACATTACCTGGGCGTGGTGGTGGGTGCCTGCAATCCCAGATACTCGGGAGGCTGAGGCAGAGAACTGCTTGAACCCAGGTGGCGGAGGCTGCAGTGAGCTGAGATTGCACCATTGCGCTCCACCCTGAAGAAGAGGTGACAGAGGAAGACTCTGACTCAAAAAAACAAAACAAAACTGTCAATTCATAATTGGACTAAAAATAGAATTGTAAATTCAAAATAATGTTTCCTAATGTAATACATAATTGATTATGTAACCCTACAATAATTGGTTTCTTCCACTTCTAATAGACACTGCTACTCTGGGAAATGTACCAAAAAGATAGCATGGTTAAAGGTCAGTATTTCATGACCCTTTTTATACTTTCTATTTTTATTTTAGATAGGTTTCTTGGTTGATGCAAATGTCAACTGCAGTGGTAGGGAACTGGCATGGGAAAGCTTCCAAAACAGAGGCCTCAGGAGATAATTCTATTTTTTGGGGGGGATGGAATCTGACTCTGTCACTGAGGCTGGAATGCCGTGGTGCGATCTTGGCTCACTGCAACCTCCGCCTCCCGGGTTCAAGTGGTGCTCCTGCCTCTGCCTCCAGAGTAGCTGGGACTACAGGCACACACCACCATACCCAGCTAATTTTTTTCTATTTTAGTAGAGATAGGGTTTCACCATGTTGCTCAGGCTGGTCTCGAACTCCTGAGTTCAGGCAATTCGCCTGCCTCGGCCACCCGAAGTGCTAGGGTTGCAGGCGTGAGTGACTACGCCCAGCTCAAGAGAAAATTCTTTTTTTTTTTTTTTTTTTGCCCGCTCCTCCCCTCAAGAGAAAATTCTAATAAACAGTCTTGCTAAAGTTTTTGAATTAAAAGGAAAACAGGGGTCGGGTGTGATGGCTTATGCCCGTAATACCAGCACTTTGGGAGGCCTAGGTGGGCGGATAACAAGGTCAGTAGTTCAAGACCATCCTGGCCAACATGGGGAAACCCCGTCTCCACTAAAAATACAAAAATTAGCAGAGCATGGTGGTGGGTGTCTGTAATCCCAGCTATTCAGGAGGCTGAGGCAGGAGAATCGCTTGAATCCGGGAGGCGAAGGTTACGGTGAGCCAAGATTGTGCCATTGCATTCCAGCCTGGGTGACAGAGCGAGATTCTGTCTCAAAAAAAAAAAAATTGGAAAATGTGTATTTTGTACACAATACTTTTGAATGTAGAATAAGTTAACAGCCAGGTGCGGTGGCTCACATCTGTAATCTCAGCACTGTGGGAGGCCAAGGCAAGAGGACTGCCTGAGCCCAGGAGTTTGAGACCAGCCTGGGCAACATAGCGAGACCCTGTCTCTTAAAAGTGTAATAAAATTAAATTAGTTAGCTTTAAAAAAAATCATTTTCTCTGCAAATACTGAAGGTATCGGTGCATTGCCAACCAGCCTCTCCTTCACTCAGCTACCAAACCATTTGATTCTCTTTTCTTTGTAGGTGACCTGTAGCTTCTCTCTGGTTCTCCGTTTTAGGATTTCGTGTTTTTTGTTTTTTTTTTTGAGATTGAGTTTCGCTCTTGTTGCCCAGGCTGAAGTGCAGTAGCACAATCTCGGCTCACTGCAACCTCCACCTCCCAGGTTCAAGTGATTCTCCTGCCTCAGCCTCTTGAGTAGCTGGGATTACAGACGCCTGCCACCACACCTGGCTAATTTTTGTATTTTTAGTAGAGATCGGGTTTCACCATGTTGGCCAGGCTGGTCTTGAACTCTTGACCTGGTCATCTGCCAACCTTGGCCTCCTAAAGTGCTGGGATTACAGACGTGAGCCACCATGCTCAGTGAGATTTCTTACTTCTAACTTTTTCTTCTTGTTCTATTTATTTCACTTTTTCTTTTGTTCTTTTGTTATGATTAATTTGGTAGAGCAACACCATTTATTTCCAGGGCCAACCGTGGATATAGCATAATTATGGAAAAAGGCCGTCAGCACTAATCACTGTCACGTACCAAAAAAATCCTACAGAATCTGAAATGTCAACAAGAAGTCTAGATCCACTGGGAAATATCTGTAAATTACACATCTTTCCATTTCAACTGGCATGACAAACTTTCAGCTTCAGTGATTTACTCGATTCCTGAGCCATCTTGAAAGTCTTGCGGGTTTCTTGTTTGTTTTTTGAAACAGGGCCTTGTTCTGTGCCCAGGCTGGAGTACAGTGGAGCAATGATAGCTCACTGCAGCCTTGACCTCCCAGGCTCAAGAGATCCTCCTACCTCAGCCTCTGAAATTAGCTAGGACTACAGGTGTACCCCACTACACCCAACTAATTTTTAACTTTTTAGTAGAGAGAGGGTCCTGTGTTGACCAGGCTGGTCTCAAACTCCTGGGCTCAAGTTGGCCTCCCACAGTGTTGGTGTTACAGGCATGAGCCACTTCACTTGGCGGACTGGTCAATTTGTCACTTTTTAAAAAGATTTTAAAAGTTATGATTTAGGTAGCATCAAATTCATTTATTTTAACTGTACAATTCAATGATTTTTAAAGAAGCTTTCAGGCTGGGTGCGGTGGCTCTCACCTGTAATCCCAGCGCTTTGGGAGGCCAAGGCAGGTGGATCACCTGAGGTAAGGAGTTTGAGACCAACCTGACCAACATGGTGAAACCCCCTCTCTACTAAAAATACAAAAATTAGTCAGGTGTGGTGCTGTGCACCTGTAATCCCAGCTACTTGGGAGGCTAAGGGAGGAGAATCGCTTGAACCCAGGAGTGGAGGTTTCTGTGAGCTGAGGGCGCACCATTGCACTCCAGCCTGGATGACAGAGCGAGTCTCCCTCTCAAAACAAACAAACAAACAAACAAAACTATTCATCAGCCCGGTGCAGTCACTCACGCCTGTAATCCCCACACTTTGGGAAGCCAAGGCAAGCAGATCACTTGAGGTCAGGAGCTTGAGATCAACCTGGATAGCATAGTAAAACCCTGTCTCCACTAAAAATACAAAAATTAGCCTGTCCTGGTGGCAAGCACCTGTAATCCCAGCTACTCGGGAGGCTGAAGCAGGAGAATCACTTGAACCTGGGAGGCGGAGATTGCGGTGAGCCAAGATCCCACCACTGCACTCCAGCCTGGGCGACAGAGTGAGACTCCGTCTCAAAACAAACCAACCAAAAGACAAAAACATATTATTATTTGTCAAAAGCCTCTTCATCACCTGGAACCTTGTGGACACCACTTATCCTTGGTACTTTCCCTTCCGGAACACTATTGCTATTGGCTGCTACGGTCTGAATGTGTTCTGCCAAATTCATGTGCTGAAACCTCATGGGAATGTGATAGCACTGAGAGGACAGGCTTTTAGGAGATAATTACATCAGAAAAGCGGAGCCTCGGGCCAGGTGTGGAGGCTCAAACCTGTAATCCAAGCACATTGCAGGCCAAGGCGGGCGGATCACCTGAGGTCGGGAGTTCAAGACCAGCCTGACCAACATGGTGAAACCCCGTCTTTAAAAAAAAAAAAAAGAAAGAAAGAAAAGCAGAGCCTCCATTGTGGGATTAGGACCCTTATAAAAGGGCTTCAAAGAGTGGGTTCACTTTGTTACCATGTGAGGACCACCTAGGCGGTGCCGTCTGAGAGGAACAGGCCCTCCTCAGACATGGAACCTGCTGCGACCTTGATCTTGGACCTCCCAGCTTCCAGCACTGTGAGAAAATAAATTTCTGTTCTTAATAAATTGCCCAGTCTCATGTACTTCATTACAGCAGTACAGACAGACTGAATATTAGCTTATCCTTTTGACGATTTCTCTGCCTTCATTGTAACAGGATCTCTGAGGGGAGGTGAGACAAAAATGTATGATCCAGTTTTGTTGCACTGAACCAAAGCTCTTCGAATATTATTTAAAATTAAGTCCAGCTGTATGGAGGCTATGTGGCCTCCCTCCCATCCTGGTCCCACACCAGCCTTTCTTTGCATGGGCTCTTTATACTATAAGCTTATTATTATTATTTTTGAGACGGAGTTTCCTCTTGTTGCCCAGGCTGGAGTGCAATGGCCCTATCTCAGCTCACCGCAACCTCCATTTCCTAGGTTCAGGTGATTCTCCTGCCTCAGCCTCCTGAGTAGCTGGGATTACAGGCATGCACCACACGATTCGCTAATTTTGTATTTTTATTAGAGACGGAGTTTCTCCATTTGGTTAGGCTGGTCTCGAACTCCCGACCTCAGGTGATCTGTCTGCCTCGGCCGCCCAAAGTGCTGGGATTACAGGCGTGAGCCACCTCGCCCGGTCTATACTACCAGCTTTGAATAGAGAATGCTCTTGTTCTGTTCATGAAGGTTTTATAAATGCTGGAATCCAGTCATAAGTAGAAATTTACATATCCGTTCCATCATTGTACTTTTCCAGATCTAGCTCGGGTCTTGCGCGGCGCAAGCAATTCCCTACTTTCTCACAGGGGGGCGCCGCAGAGAAGGGCAGAGCAGAGCGCGCGGTCCTAGAGCGTGCCTTTCAGGAGGGGGCGCGTCCATGGGGCTGGGTCGCTGCGAGCCGTGCGCAACGTCGGGGGCGGGAACAATCCTGGCCCTACCCCCGCGCGCTGCGGCGCCTTGTGATTGGAAGAGGAAACGGTCACTTGGCAGCGCCGTTGGGATTAGGGGAAGGGGGCCGGGCTGGAGGTGACGCTGAGGCGGCCAGGGTGAGGAGGACTGGCTGCTGCTGCAGTTTGGGCGTTCGTCCCTCATCTCTCTGTGGTGAATGGCGACGAGATGGAGCCCGAGGGGAGCGGCGGGTCGGCCGGGCTCCTGCAGCAGATCCTGAGTCTAAAGCTTGTGCCGCGGGTGGGCAACGGGACCCTGTGCCCCAACTCCACTTCCCTCTGCTCCTTCCCAGGTACGGCCCGCCCCGCGCCTGCGCACTACGCGCCCCGCCGCGGCTTCGGCGGGGCTGTGGGCGTCCGGAGTATGGGCGGGCTCCCCTGTGCGCCGCCGATTGGCGGGGTGGGTGCTGTCCTCCTGGAAAGGGGGTGTCCTGCTGCTCTCCCGGAGCCCCCTTTCCCCGTCACTTCCACCCTGGCCCCCGAGCCCCGCTGGCCGTGGGGTTCGGGGAGCGGCCGCAGGTGGGCCCGGGGCTGGAGGTCACTCGGCCGCCATCCAGCGGGTCTTGGCCTTTGGAGCTTCCGAGCACACCGGGTTCAGACCTGCACCCCACGAGCCCAGGAGGCAGTGGTCCCCGCCCCGGCTGGGTTGCCCCAAGGCACCCACCTCCTTCGAGGGGCCTCGGGGCGGTCCGGACGGCTGAGGGTTCAGAGCTCGCCCTCTCCTTGCCCGAGATCTGCAGCCTGGCCTCTCTTCAATCGCAGGCGCCTCGGGCTAAATCTATCCTCCCCGAGACCCGTTCGGCTTTCCAGGAATCTCCTTCCGAGACCTGGTGCCACCTGTTGCCTTGTTCCCACTAAGCCATCAAGATCTTTGGCCCAGCTTCCTTTGAACTCTTCTGCCCCCTGCAGCATGAGCTGGTTGCTCAGAGTTCCAGTGCCAGGAAGAACTGCCCGTGCTCGGAGAGCTGGAGGGAGGAGCGAGGACTTCACCTGGGAAGACGGAGAAAGGCTTTGAGGGGAGGCGCAGTTATTTGTGTTGACCTTGAAAGGCAAGAAGACTGGGGCCCGTGGCCCTGGAAGGGGAGGTGGGGCTTCCCGCAGAGGGGACTGAGATCTTCGTAAACAACGGGGGAGCAGAGCCGAGGGAAGGAAGACGGGACTCCAGACTCTAGTCCCAAACAAGGCACCTGTGATTTCTCATCCCCTGAGCAGCGACTGCCAGGCGCCGTTCAGCGGACACCTGGGACTTGCAGCGTGATTATGTGCCCAGGGTTTTTCCTGGTGGGGACTGTGAAGTAGCTGGTAAGGTAGGCAGGTTGGGGTCAGATGCAGATGTTAGCTTGTGGTAATGCCTGAAAAGAGAATCTGGGAGCTCACTTTATTTCAGAAGATGCTAGGATCGCTTTTGACAGTGATATCAAAAAATTGATGGTATTCTGGGGACCCTGTGTGAAAAATGAAATGTTCGTTCAATCTGGAGGCGCTACGGGGACCAGATTAATCTGTTTTTGTTGCCTTAATTTTTCCCTTTTCCTGAAAAATTGTAAGCCTGCCAAAAAATTGAGCGAACAGGACAAGTACCCATGTGCCCTTTACTTAGATTTGGTTATATTTTGATTCTTTGGCTCGCGCGCGCACGCGCTATCTCTCTCTCTCTCTGTATATATATACATGTGTATAAGTGTGTGTGTATATATATATATATATATCACATGTATCATATATATATATATTATACTTAGATATGTGTTATATATCCCTTTTCAACTCTGGAGTCATTCAGTACAAAGTTGCAGAAATCATATAACACTTGATGCCTGATATCTTATCATATATCGTCTAAAAAATATTTTCTTTACTAGGCCAGGTGCGGTGGCTCACGCCTGTAATCCCAGCACTTTGGGAGGCCGAGGCAGGTGGATCATGAGGTCAAGAGATCATGAAACCCCGTCTCTACTAAAAATACAAAAAATTAGCTGGGCATGGTGGCACGTGCCTGTAATCCCAGCTACGGGAGGCTGAGGCAGGAGAATTGCCTGAACCTAGGAGGCAGAGGTTGCGGTGAGCCGAGATTGCGCCATTGCACTCCAGCCTGGGTAACAAGAGCAAAAAACTCTGTCTCAAAAAAAAAAAAAAATTTCTTTAATAACCACAAAACCATGTAATATCCAAGAAATTTAACGTGATAGAATATTGTTATCTAATGTATGGACCTTGTTTAAATTTCCCCAATTGTCCACATACTTTATGTGGACATTTTTATGTGGAATATATTTTTTTTAATTCCATGATCTAAGGTTCACACATTGCATTAAGTTGTTCAGTCTCTTTAGTTTCATTTAACTAAAACAGTTCCTTCCTTGTTTGAATTTCTGAAGATGGACATTTTGGAAGAGTTCATGTGAATTATTTTATAGACTGTTTTACAATCTAGGTTCATTAGATTTTCTTCATGATTCAATTTAGATTAAACATTTTTGGTCAGAACGCTATCTACCTAGGTGATGTGCACTTACCAGTACATCACATCAAGAGACATTGAATGTCAGCCCAGCAAGTTGACTCACACCTGTAATCCCAGCACTTTGGGAGACTGAGGCAGGCGGATCACCTGAGGTAAGGAGTTCAAGATCAGCCTGGCCAACATGGCAAAACCTTGTCTCTACTAAAAATACAAAAATTAGGCATAGTGGTGTGTGCCCTGTAATCCCAGCTACTCGGGATGCTGAGGCACGATAATCTCTTGAACCCAGGAGTCAGAGGTTGCGGTGAGCCAAGATTGTGCCACTGTACTCCAGCCTGGGTGACAGAGTGAGACTCCATCTAAAAAAAACACCAAAGAGTCATTGAATGTCAGTTTGTGTCTTCATTGATATTACTGAGTTTTCTCATTTGGTGAAGATGTTGTCTGTCAGAACTCTCTACTGTAAGGGTACCTGCATCCTCTCTTAATTAAACGTCATAGGTAGGGTCATAGTAGGAACTGAATAGTCTGTTGAGTCTTTCTGGCTTTTAGTTCTTTAAGCAAAGATTGAGATAAGTGGATTTGAGATAGGTTTAATACGTCACAGTAAATAATTTGTAGCCATGCGAATTGTTTTACCTTCAGAGTTTTTTTCTGAAAATCTTAAACTTCAATATGTACTTGAGTTTATGGTTATCGTTATGGATATGTAACTTGGGATATTGATTACCAGAGATTGTTTATTCAGGAAGTATACATTTAGCCAAGTGCAGGCTCTGGTCTGCGGGTATGAGCAGATGTGAGGCCTAGCCCTTCACCCCAACTAGGTCAGAATCTGTCAGTAAACACAGAACCTCCCTGCTGTGTCTCATCTTTAGCAGGAATGATGGGCATAATAATTGCATGAAGTTATGTCCTATTTGAGACACCAAAGTCCGTTGAACAGAAATTGCATTCATTGTCCTGAATCTGGTATATTTGTATTTTGGTCCCACAGAAAAGGTTACTTGCAGTTTATGCTAACTCATTATGGCAGAATCGTTGTGAAGTATTCTGACATATTTATGTATACCAGGAAGCACTGAATTGATTTTTTTTCTCTTTTCTTTTTTTGAGACAGAGTCTCACTCCTGTTACCCAGGCTGGAGTGCAATGGCACAATCTCCGCTCATTGCAACCTTCACCTTCCGGGTTCAAGCGATTCTCCTGCCTCAGACTTCCAAGTAGCTGGGGTTACAGGCATGCAACACCATGCCTAGCTAATTCTGTGTTTTTAGTAGAGTTGGGGTTTCTCCATGTTGGTTAGGCTGGTCTTGAACTCCCAACCTCAGGTGATCCGCCTGCCTCAGCCTTGCAAAGTGCTGGGATTACAGGCGTGAGCCACCGCGCCCAGCCAATTTTTTATTTTTTACCTGTATTTGGAGTTTAGCCATTTACCTAAGGAGTGTTAGGTAGACATCTGAACGACGTTTGCAGTGGCTCACACCTGTAATCCCACCACTTGGGGTGGCTGAAATGGGTGGATCACCTGAAGTCAGGAGTTCGAGACCAGCCTGGCCAACGTGGTGAAACCCCATCTCTACTAAAAATATAAAAAATTGCGGGCCGTGGTGGTGCATGCCTATAATTCCAGGTACTAGGGAGGCTGAGGCAGGAGAATCGCTTGAACCCAAGTGTGGGAGGTTGCAGTGAGCCAGCATTGTGCCACTGCACACCCACCAGGGCCACAGAGCGAGACTCTGTCTCAAAATAAATAAATAAACATAAATAAATGACTAAACTGCAAATGCAGGTTAAAAAAATTTCCTTTATTGTCATTTTTAACAAATCTCAAAACTAAGAAACTGACATCTTGTATCAGGAATGACATTCATCTTCTGAAGATACAGATTTCATTTCACTAAATCAGTGTCAAATTAGATCTTGTGATAATTAGAAACCCAGTAATGTTTTTGTATTGTCCTTGTTGAAATCAAGACTGGTCATACTTGGACCAGTCATTTCTTCATTCACTCAAAAAATATTTGCTCAGTGTTGATTGTGTGCCTGTTGTTTTCTAGGCACCAAGTCAAGACTTTGTTAGTTAACATAACAAAGCCCCTTCCCACATGGAACTTTCATTCCAATGGGAAGAGAGAGACAACAAACCAAACAGCTGGTGGTGAGGGGCCTGGGAATTGGCAGGGCCTTCGTGGTGTAGGAGTGGGATGCTGTTTGCTGTAAGGTGATGGGGAAGCCCTCAATGGTGATGACATTGGAGTCAAAATCTGAAGGAAGTGAGGAATGAGCCAACAGCTATTGTGGGAAGAGCAAGTGTTCTAGGCCAGGGAGCAGCAGATTCAAAGGGCCTGGAGCAAGAGCCTGCAGAGGAAACACTGAGCAGGTTGGGGTGCCTGGAGGGACTACGTGGGCAAAGCAGAGAGGAGAGGAGGGCGGATCCTGGAGCACTCTGCTGGGGGGTTTTGAGCAGAGGTGGGATGATTCTGACTTAAGTATGCAATCCAGTGGTTTTTAGTATATTTACAGAGTTAGACAACCATTACCACAATTAATTTGAGAATATTTACATCATCCTGAGAATAAACCGTCTTTGTACAAAGAAGAAACTTTGAAGAAACCTACCAGCTGTGCATGGAGACTAAATGGAAGGCCCCATCAGGTCAGAGAAGGTCTGGTCAGGCTAGGACCCAGAGACCACTGGGGTGAGGCAGGCCAGGGGCACCTCCAAAAATCAAGGAGGAGCAGGAAGGCAGTATCCAGAGAGAGGTGGTCGATTACAGTTGGTATTTCAGTGGGCATGTCATCTTGTTAGGGAGAAGTGGAGGAGACAGTTGGACCTTCAGGCAGGGAGGTGAGCTTTGGTAAGAGAGGAGTCTCCCAGTGGACAGCGTGCAGGGCTGCAGGCTAATGGGCGATTAGTATCAAGGCAGCCCAGCTTCAGCATAGAGTTGCAGGACTACAGAAAACTGTTTTTTTTTTTTTAGATGGAGTCTTGCTCTGTCGCCCAGGCTGGTGTGCAGTGGTGCAGTTTTGGCACACGGCAACCTCTGCCTCTTGGGTTCAGGCGATTCTCCTGCCTCAGCATCCCGAGTAGCTGGGATTACAGGCAAGTGACATCACTCCTGGCTAATTTTTGTACATTTAGTCGTCAGGGTTTCACCACGTTGTCCAGGCCGGTCTCGAACTCCTGACCTCAGGTGATCTACCCACCTTGGCCTCCTAAAGTGCTGGGATTACAGGCATGAGCCACCTCGCCCTGCCAAGACTACATAAGACTCTCAACCCCCAGGAGGACTCATGTGGTCTACTTAGAACTGCAGAAGAGAAAGTGACCTTGCTGACCCAGTTGTTCGGCTGGAACACAAGATTAGAGTGGGGCCAGCTGGAAGGAGGGCTGCGTGCTGAGCATCATGCTGCCCTCTCAGCTCAGGTTCTTTCCATTGCTGCGGTTTGGGGCCAGGTTGGTCTTGAGGCCTTGGTTGGGAGTCAAGTGACTTGGCTGTGGAGGTTAGAGGCCAGGGAGCCGGCCATTATAGACCCTTGTGTTAATACAGAATCCACTAGAGGATTCTGCTCTCTGTGTCT